GCATTGCATGTCATCTCTCTACCACTGATTCCAACAGTGTGGTTGCATTAACAGGAATCTGAGTGTGAGACACTACCAGCTTACAGCCTTGTCTCATTGATCAGAACTCTAAAATAGTTGCTTAACATTCTAGTCTGAATGTCACTGCAAGTTAATAGACTCTTTAAAGAGCTTGTGATATAATACGGAAGCTAAATATACTTTTATACAATTTTTATCTCTCATTTCTGATAAATGTTAAAGATAGATTCCCACTGGAGATAAATGATGTGCTGTGTTGCCTCAAATTAATAAGGTAAATTTTAAAGGAACTTTAAAAGCAAGCTTTTAACATAGATGTTGAGGAGAAAATCAAGAGTTCTTATGTTCTAGTATGATTTCTATGTAACAAAGAAACTTGCCTGTCAGAATGATCACAATTTCAGTCTGTCTAAAATAATGAATTTCAATTTGCCAATAATCTTTACACCATTCCTGGCAACATGCCCTAGAAAAACACTGGCAGGTTGCTACCAGTACATTCTGGCAAGTTATTTGATGTTGTTATTTAAAAGTCATTCTAAATCTTTAGGATCTAATCAGTCTGTCATTCTGCAATGAATTTGTTAATATTTATCATAAAATTGCAGTATTAGTTTCACAAGAATATACTCTCCACAACCCATAATGTTCAAAATTTTCCATGAGTACAAAATCCTCTCTCCACAAGCCAGAGTATATTGAAAATAAGAAATTAATAAAAATCATATAATGCATTTTCCCACAAAATGAAATCTGATTGATTTATAAACAGTGTCATTGAATATTAGATATTAAATAACAAACTCTATTTATTTTCACTTGATAATATCTTACTTATATCAAATATGTCATCAATAATCCATTAGCATGTTGATTGTAAAACATATCATAGTGTGAATATAGTGAAAATACCCATTGTGTCTATATTTTTTATTGTTGCAAATAAGGACTGACAGATTACTATAAATAGGTGTGTAGTAATCCCAGATCTCCCTAGTTTTATTTCCAGTTTATTTATTATTTTTTTAAATTTTAAATCGAAACATCACGAGCAGTTGTTTAGCAACAAGACAGAAAAACTGAAGTGAAAAGCTGAAACATTATGTAAATTTAAAGAGAAACACAAATATATTTTTTTAGTTAAAACCTTACTTCTGCATTTTTGATTGGGCATACATGAAGACATGAAATGCCAGCAGTTGAGTTAGGTGGATTTCTCCCAGAGACAGGTATTAGTCTTTTACTGGATTTCCAACTGTCACCAGATCTTTAATGCATCACTGTTAGTTGAAAATCTAAAGCTTACAAATCGAAGCTTATTTGAAAAGAGCTCAACTTATGATGTGTATAAATAGACATAGACATATTCATAAGTGTTGAGTATTTATTGTTGAAAGTACTGTCTTTAAGGTAAGATGTAATGAATAATCAATGAGAAGATAATTACCAATCTAACATCCTATGTAATCAGACAGAGATCAGCACTATTGCAGGAACTCTTATACTTTTATAATGTCAAATTACACATATCATGATAGTATCAATAACACTGAAGTCATGACATTCACCTTTTATCAGGTCTTGAACATTTTTCTATAAAAATTCTTGGGGCCCATTAACATTGGAATTCAGATGAAAAGCAATCAAAATGATCATATGAGTAGACTATCACTTATCTAAGTGTCTGTAGGTTTAGATATTTAGTAAATCTTAAATTTGCATTGATAAATTTTTCACAGGGCAATACAATGTCAAAGCCTACAATTTATGCTTTAATTATTACTTTCAAACAAACAAAATTTTCAAACGTTTAGTTCAGGTTTGAAAAGGAAAGTTATTGTGTCCAGTATAGTGTACAGATGGAATTATTGAAATTATAGAAAAGAGAAGAAACAAATCATGTCTGCATCCTGATTGATCTGAACTATGTTTATTCGCTTCTTTTACCATCTACTGGTTGGTAAATCTCTACCATACAAGACTCTAATCCCTGTTTAAAAGCCGTCTGTAGAAGTTTGAAGTGATGACCAGAAGTCTGTCATAGATCTTTTTCTTAAATCTTCAACTGTAATTTCTTCAGATTCTTACATTGATCTTGAGCAACCTTCTGTACCAGATTGTACTTTAGAAATTAGATAACTGTCTACAATCATACACGACAGTCCAAATAACGCACAGAATAATTCTGACATGGAAATTCGTTTAGGAGTTATTTTGGTATCATTTGACAGGAGTTCTACAGAAAGAAGACAGCCACATATCAGAACTGGAGCCATGCAGCTCAACCTTCCTATCATATTTTAAGGAATCTGTCATACCAAATGTGAATTCCGATATTTTTATTGAGGAAAATGATATTCTTCAATGCCAGAAAATCTTCTGGAAAAAATTAATCGAACATTTCTAACTAATTGGATAATTTGTGTATAAATAGCCATATTTCATATCAGAATTAGTTTGTAATTCAATCGAATGTTGATATCAAACTAACCCTTCCTGTCCTGAATGCTGCCCGATAAGGCAAAAGAAATAGTGGTCCAACACAGAAGAAATGAATTAATAAATCATCAACGTAAATATTGGAAACCACTCAGAATAAATAGTATGTCTCTTGTTAAATGCAAACTGCTATATTACCATACCAGATTACTTACTGAGGTCCATCAATTTCAGTTACTATTCCTTTATACCCATCCACATATGGGATATATCTAGGAATGGTTATTCTGCATTTTTATGCCACAAAATTTGGAATCTCTTTTCCGAAATTACTTGGTGCTGTGCTGTTCTAGGACCACTTTGTGAACAGTGGCGGTTTAAAGTAGGCTTGGACCAATCTTCATTTAATAACTTTTTTTCTGATGACTCATGAAAATTTAGCTGACAAAATATTTTTGAGCCATGAGATAATTATTCAGAAATTAGTCGTTTAGGTGTAGACCATAAATTTATCAACAATAAGAGACACTGACCTAGTTTCAGTCATGAAATCGAGGCAAAATAAAACCTTAAGAACAATATCTTTAGACAACTTCATTCCATTAACTATAAACATCTAACCAAATTGATCCATTATTGGACATCAATGGCTATGGCTTGACAACATTATCATTGATGAGGACATGAATACAGATGATAATCTTATTTTGAAATCCTTTAATTGAGTTCAGATGTGAGCTCAGTGTTCGACCAACTACCAAGAAAGTCAGAAAACATCAGATAACAGTGTCATAACTGTTCAAGAATTTGATCAGTTTTAACAAAATGTACATATACAATACTTTGAACTGTTTGAAATAAAAAAAAATCTAAAAGGGACAGTGGCAAATGCTGTCCTTTTAGATTTTTTCTTGAAATATGCATCTCAAAATATTAGTGACTCTTGGGACTATCTTTAAACAATGCTGTTATGACAACATCAGTATGAATGTGGCATTAAGGAATGTGAAAGATAGACAACTGTATAATTTAATTCAAAAGAGCTTAAATCTATGTCTATAAGACATAAACCTTCAGTTTATTTTAATTAAAGCTGGTCTGTTCAATTAAATTTCACCCTTTATCTCTTGAAGCATGCTAAGTACTAATTTTCAGGACATAACTTGGTGGGTGTAAATGAGTTTTCTATAATTTCCTGAAGAATCTATTTGAAGACAATATGACCCTGGCCATTACCAAGATACAATTGATTAAGTGAACAGTATTATACTGTAATTGACAAGTAAATCATGAGATATTTTATCTCTGAAAGACTCAGATCCTCTTCTCATTAACCATCTAAATCTGGTGTAAGAATGATAATGTAGAAGATTAATCACAAGTTGTTAATGCTAGCCATTATTCTTTCTGGATTATTATCTACTTTTCTTCAATCTTGAAGGTGTTCTCAGATCTATTCTGACTGTTCTCCATACTTGATATAATGATAGATTTAGGTACCGTACTGTAGTACTAATATCTGGGAATATTTAAACTGGAAGGATCACACCATGTGTGATATTTATGCAGTGATATTTCTAGAAACACTGGATTTTTTGCAATAAGACTGAAATATAACAGAATTTATATATAGTATTCTTATGTTCACCACATGTTATTTTCAATTCAAGCATACTTCAATACATTGTACTGGTATAGAATAAAAATGCTGAAAGAATAAGCTTACTTCATTTACTTTGATAAAAAATAATTGATTAGTTCAATGGCTTTTTTATCTCATATTTCACGAAAATTTTGAGATAATTAGCCCACAGTCTAGTCATAAAAATCATTTCGATTGGCCAATCATCTCTTAATATAATCAAGGCACGCTTTTTTTACATTGTTCTAGACAATAGTCTCGGTAAAAATTATATTAACATTGCTAAGATCTCAGAAATCCTTTTATCGTCTCGTTGTCTATTGATAAATTAACGTGACATGAAAATATTCTCACAATCATTCTGATATAGATAATATGTTTATTGCTCATTAAAGGGATAGGTTTCCAATTTTCAGTGGTTGCTTTAGGTCTCAAATATATGTAATCTTCAAAAATACTAGAGAATTGTATGAAAATCGCATAAATCCTTACAAGATACCTCAATCTAAGAATTTCACATTTTATTTCTATGTATGTCTATTCCACATTTTTAATGGGTTTGTTTTGTTGAATGATAAAGGACATTGGAACTGTTTTTTAAAATATTTGAAAGAAAAATTTATCATGCTAGGAAGATTTACTGAGAAGCAGAGTTCTGATATACCGGCTTTCAAATTTGACAAAGGTTGCTCACATAAAATATAGCAGTTAACCCACTTTGATTATACTGCCCCAGCTTAATCATATAATATCAAATAATAAATGAATGTTTCAAGGCAATGTCAATATTTTAAAACACATTAATGGGCAATGTAGAACTGGGAGTCATGAATTTAATAAAATGTATGGCCTAACACTGAAGTTAGACACCATGATTAGAAAATAGTATAACTTGAGGCTAGAAAGGTAAATTATCATCAACATCACGCTCTCTTGTGGAATACAAAATCTACAACATAACATGATTTGGCTGGTCATGTTGCTATTTTAGACTGACTAAGTTTATCTAGCAAATTATATATTTAGTCAAATGGTAGATGTCTAGGTATAGATTAGCCCTTAGGAATATTTCAGGTTAAGAATTATTGCTCCTGGTATTACAGTAATTTGTTCAGTAAACCCTTCATGTCAATACAATAATAGAATGAGTCAAAATCAATTACTGGTCAAGCTATTTGGAAAGACAGAATGATGTTATATTAAAATTCAATCTTCAGGATAGTGGGTTGGTTTTCCTGTTTCCTCTTTCTTCTATTTTCACTAATTACTTATACATATTCTACAACTTCAAATCCTAGCAGACTTACAATTACAATTTTAAGTCTGTACTTCTTACTAAGGAATCATTGTGAACACATAGTAGTGTGGGTGTATAAAAAGGATGAAATTGATTGCAATTATTTCATCATCAATATCTTGGAATTTCAACATGACATCCAAATCATAGAAGTAGGTGGTTATATTCACAGTTCTATTATTAAATATTATGAAATTTAAAATCTTTACAACATTATCAAATGACAAGAATTTCAACATCTTTTCTTATCTATAGCAAAAGTATTATAAATTATCAAATTAATTTTTTAAAATCATCATTATAATTTCACTTCTGAAGATCACATAGTGTGAACAACATTATTCAAGTTCTGTTTTAACATTCTATTCACTTTATGCAGAAACTTCATTCATTTCCAATGAATCACAATTTTCTCCAACTGAAAAATTACTTAATAGATGAGTCTAGTATTTTGATTTTATCAAATTATAAAGACAACTAGATCATTATCTCAGTAGAAAGTGAATCCATACAGTTACAATTTACAGCTATTCTGCAACTTCATACTGTTCAGAAACTTTGATCAATGTAATATCTAAAATAATTTCCCTGACAAATATATTCTAAATGTATAGATGCATTGTGTAAGTATAAAATCCAACAGTACCAAAATAGAAACTCTTAACTTGAAACATGAAAGCAATATCAGGAAAGAACCTGGAAGGTTTCTGCCATTTCCAGCATCTAATAAAGACAATCTAAGTCTATATTTGGAATCTCTGAGATACCCACCAGCGAGATTGATATGACAGATGAACAGAAATTGTCAGAAACATCTTTCCCTTGCAGCGATTTGACTTGACAAACACAAATCTGTCTTGATAAAAAAAGATTCTACCATGAAAGATTTCTTTTAAAAATAATTCAAGACTAGTTATAGAAATTTACTTGATAAAAACAAGGAATGTCCGAAAAAATTGCCTTATAAATTCAATACTAGATTTTGTGAGTCTAATTCTACTATTTTTTTTTCTTAACCTCAATGCACTAAGAGAAGCTTCATTCATATTCTATGTTATAGCTTTAGTGTTCTAATATTCATCATAATTTAATAATAGTTTGACATGTGTAATGAATGATTAATAAAGTCTGTAGTCATGTTTTCTTATGAAGAATTATCTCCCATGTACTGGAAACTAAGCTGAGAAAGAGTTACAGCCCATTGTTGTCTGTAGTAAGAATATTTTTATACAAAATGTGATTACTTCCCTTAGAATACTTGACCAAATATGAGAAGGTCAAGATACAAAATTCTATATAGAGGCCATTGAGGATGTCTCAAAGCCCATTTATTAAGCTTATAACTCAAAATTAAGTAAGCATTTTGTGTATTTGAAACCTTTGGCCATATTGAATGCAGCTTTTCATCTTCAATTTATATTTTAAGCTACAATGGATGAATGTTTTCAATTTAGATTAGAAGTGCTTGTAGAATGAGAAAATTTAAGTCAATGAATCAAGGGCTAAGTGTAAGTGATGATTAAAATAATTGCATGTGGTTTGTTTTTGGTTTAAACTAACTCACCATTTGTCTGACTAGTAGAGCACTTTCATCTTCTGCTGTTGTTAATCTCTCTTTAAGGTTGGTAGTCTGGTTGAAGGCCATCCCACCTGCTGAAAACCATAGCTGAAAAACACAAACAATGAATCAAAATTTTGTTGTTACAACAGAGAAGTGGGGTAGAATTAGTCGAATTGTCTGCTGCATGGCCATAAGGTTCCATGACTTCCTCTCAGGGTAAGCACAAAAATTAGTTACAATGAGATTTGAAGAAAATCATGGTCAGTAATTTTGCCAACCAGCAAACTGAGTATTGTCAGGTAGCATCTTCTTAGCAAAATATGTAAGCTTATTCACAATACATTAGGCAAGGTGTGCTCATCCTTTCAGCAACTCAAAGCTTTTGTCAATTTGATGACATTCTAGGACTTAATTTGTCAATTTGGCATTGTTTTCAGAGAGTCAACATAGCTTGTATAGATTACTTGGTACAATTATTACTCATTGTGGTGTACTATGTACATGTTAACCACATGAATCTTACAGTGCAAGACAAAGAGACAAGAACTAATTTGTGTCTGGTGTTTTCAGACTGTGTCTATATGGTAAAGTCTATGAAAACATCAACATGACATGTACTTGTCTAATCAATAGATTGATGTGAATCAGTTAAATTGCTAGAAAGACAATGTTTGTTAATGTGACTTCTTACAAATACATCTTGTCAATATGTCAACACAAGATCTTTATATAATGCCAATGTTTCTTTTTAAAATGAAAAAAATCAATTCGAATCATATTTTGTGAATTACAGGTAGGTATCTTCAAATAACAAATTGTTTTAAGAAAACTGTTTCATTGGTTTGGAATAATCAATATTTAGGGTTGTATTATTGGCATCAACAGGGCTGTGACGTGCCAAAAGCCATATCTCATACACTATACAATATCCAAAACACTACAAGTCCCAATATTGGTATCTTCAAATAACAAATTGTTTTAAGAAAACTGTTTCATTGGTTTGGAATAATCAATATTTAGGGTTGTATTATTGGCATCAACAGGGCTGTGACGTGCCAAAAGCCATATTTCATACACTATACAATATCCAAAACACTACAAGTCCCAATATTGGTATCTTTTTGGTTTTCCTAAAATGTTCTGGACTCCCTAGCTAGTATTGTGTGTCTTTTCTACTGTTCTGAACATTTTGACGTAGTAACATCTAAAGCAACTTAATTCAAAACACAATGGTAAAGGGGTGACACATTCATTTCCATTCTAAGAAATCTTAGAATTACTTCTTATGAGAAATATCACAACCTGAGTAGTGTAACCTTATAAACCTAAACTATCAGACTCTTCTACTACTGACTTTCATGATATCAAACACAATCATTTAGATTCAGTAGATTGTGTTCACACTGAAATGATCAACATGAATCTATACTAAAATATTACACTTTCATCCTATATTGCTATATGAAAGGTATTTCAAAATTAATGATGGTGATTAAAAGTTGAAGGTTAACATAGAAGAATTAAAATCTATTTTAAGTAAAATCTATTCTAGCCAGTAGATAAATCATTGCAGTAGCACTGTTTTAATCTTCTTATTCAACCTTGTACACTATCATCACAATGCTTATTGCAGTGTCATTCCAATACTGGTTTTCTCTACCAATTGAGCTTAAATTCACACCTATTAAGATTTAGAATAAAAAATTCAACATGTGGTTTCAGTAAAATCTAACACAGAATAGTCAATTGTCTACCAGCATGTATTCAAACTGGTACTGGTCTGATACTTTTGTCTTTTATTCAATACATCACTTTAAATGCAAAGAAAGTTGTTAACAATTTAAGACAATACTGATTTTACTAGGAGCACTATTACAGCACCTGTCTGGCTCCTGTAAGGATTCATACTGATATCATACTTCTTTAAGAGGCAATCCACTCTTCATCATACAACAAAAAGTCTTGACAGAGCCCTAATATGAGGACACTTATTATAAATAATTATACTACATTTGTATTCAATTTAAGTGCAAAATGGTCAAATCATAGTTTAGCTAGTGTACCATCTTCTGTCAAATGATAAGTCTGTGTTATAATTGGAGTTTCATCATCATATCTTGTGACCCTGATTATCACATGCTATAATGTCAAATAAGATTACTCTATTCATAGTAATAATACATTTCTAGATGAGTTACAAGGCGTTGGTTTTCATTCATATGATCATTATGAAACATATTCAATTTATCAAATTTTTGATTCAAAGAGAAGAGATTTCTCTTATTGTTCACTTAATGCCAGACAAATTTATTTTCTTGTTTGACAGATTTTTTCTTAAAATGTCTTTTAAAGGCAGATTTGGGATTTTTGTCTGATAATAGTATCTAGGGTCACAGAATGTTCTTATAAAAAGAAATTTGAAAAGTTAAACTTAGTATAATCTTGTATATAAACTGAAGAGAAATTCTGATACAGGTGGATGAAAGAACATTAGGAATACTGGTGAACAGGGGCATGCAAAATGACAGAATTGTGCTTTCAATACTTTTTGTCACTCATGCTAGATTTGTCTGCATGTATCCCTATAAAGTTATAAAATTTCAGTTGAATTTCAGCTTGATCATCAATTTTATATTATCATACTGCTGAACTAAACAAGAAAAACTAAGCTGATACTGATAAAATATTGATTGGCCACTATTTGGACCATCAGTGACGCAGTTTTACTCAAGTCAACAACCTCTAGCTATGATTTAATTATAAACTTCTACTCCTTTTATTCTTACAAGATTCCGTGCTACAGGCATTTCAAACAAAATAACATGGTGATTATTAGATTTAACTTAGATTCCTTGACATAACAGAATTCAAATCTAAAAATTGAGTTTTAAATTTTTTCAGAACTCTTCTCAAATCTAATTTACTTCTCTCATCTCTTTCGGTTATGTCTCAATGGATGAAAATCTATACTTAGGGTAACACTTATTTCAATTTCAATATGAAAAAAAATTAAGGGAACCCTTTATGGTGCCAAAAACAGAAGGGCAATAAAAAGACAAAGCAACCAGTAAATTAGGAGCATTCTAGCAGCTAGGAATTATGCATTTTTTGTACAGTTTAGTACCATACTTTTGAAGAGTATTAACCAACATTCAAGGCTAAAGTCAACCCCCCCAAAATGCTGCACTTGCCCCTTTAAAGTCAGAAAATTCTAATATCTAAGACTGAGTGAAACCAGAGCTTTAAATGTTGTAGATCAATATCAAATATAGATAGACTTATATAGACCAGTTGTTATTATTACACATTCCTTCACAATCCCATTATCACTTTCACTCAATTATTTTCAAATACCAATATTTCATTGCCATGTTGTCTCAAGCTTCAGCAACTCAACAATGGTTCAAGTTCAATGAGCTAATGAAATTAGCAACATTATGCTTTCCAGGCACAATGGTTGAGAATATATAACACCAAGACCAAGATAAAATGTCCTTTAATACTTTTCAATATTTGTAACTTGTGAGGGTTTCAAGGTTGATCCTCCGTGGTTAAACCTTTCCTTTTAAATTGCTAACAAATAAATGGTTGAAGACATTCAAATAATCACAAGTAAAATTGCTGAATACACACTAGTTTACACATTTCATAAACTTGACTTCAATACATTATTCATTTTGATTTTTTAAAGCAATTATCTTTAAATGTCATATTTAAAAAGGTGATTAAGGAGATATTATTCTGGTCTCCATACTTATATTATTTATAAACTATGAAGAGATCCACTGTATATAGAGTAACTTAGGTATTTATATTAGGTAACAGATGGTCTATTTCTAATATTTATGGTGTAATATGGCTTGATAACTGAGACTAACTCCCTGGATTGATCATGATCAATAGTTTCATATCAAAAATAAACATAATTTAACATTAGATAAGAGTTTTCCTTATTATAGGGCTATGTTTATATCAAATATTGGTTGGCTAATGTTTTCTTCATTCATATTTTTCTGTATATTAACTGTAAGTTTGATCATTAATACTAGTGCTGGCACAATATATATCAGTGATGCAACATGTCATATATTGATTTTTGATGATGGGGTTGGAATGAAAAACTTTTTTCACTGACTTGACTGATATTGTTCAAAACTTTTTATACGACAATGGAGGTCAACCACTTCCATCAACTACATTACCAAATATCATATTATGTAGTAAATTAATAAATATTGATCCTGTGAAGATAAACCGTTAACTTTTATCCCATAACTCCATATTGCGATACGTATCGTGACCTTTTTTGTATCGCAATACATATCTTGGTATGATTTGATACCTAGCACTAATTAATACAGTACCGGTAGCATTAAGAAGGCATAATTCTAATCTAAAACCTCAGGAAACAATTTCCCATGATCAGAACAAAATAGGGTTGTGCTAACGCAAGGCAGATATGGAAAAGGAGATGTTTAGGCACACAAGTTATATCTCAATTTCATTCAAATAAGTGTGGAATTAAGACAAAATCAATCAATAAGGTTGTGCAATATAAATTTATTACAAAAATCTAAGTAAAGAAATTAATTGTTCAAATTGTGCAGTAAAGTTGTCTGCCATTTAGAAAATCAAAATAAAAGCAATAGGCCTACAAGCGGGACTGTTAGATACTTAACAGTCCCGATATTAACTACTAAGACAAGGCTGCTTAGACTAAGAGGCTGCCAGATGAAAAACTGAATACACTGAATGAACATGTCAAATAGGCCTATACTAAAATGCACTGACAATCTAACGGAGAAAGCACCTAGTCTGAGAGTGTATCCTGTCAGTGGATGATGACTGAACTGAAGACTACCTAGAACTGGAAACAGGCGCTATATCGGCATTGTCATTCATTGTTGATTAAGTTCATGAATAGCCTATCGGAAAACAAAAAATTTCACTGAAAAAGGTCTTACCCAAGAAAATGTCCAGACGGCAATAGCAGAAGAAATGTCTTTTTGACAAAGGCAAACTTATATTAGCTCCTTCCATGGAAGTGTGGTTTACAATTTAAGAAAATATCACTTTAACAGGCTGACAAAAATCCCTCAATTTGC